TTTCAAATGTATTAGAATAATTTTTAGAAAAAGAAAATAAGAAAATTTCACATAGCAGTTGTTCTTTATAAAAAAGTTACTAATAAACAGTTTATTTGTTTATCGTTTTATGTTTTGTATTACTCTGTATACAATATCTACCATCATTTTTAGATAAAGCATTTAACCTAAATTCTACAAAGAGTTAACCTAAAACAAACATTAAACATAATCTAAAGCTACATCAAATCGAAGACGTGCTACTTTAATTTCGAAAACATTTTTGCGATCATCTGAAAAACTAAACCTAACTTAAACTTTTGCATTATTATGACTTACTTCTTTTTCAATTTATGCAACTTTTATGTCACCTACAAGTTGAACAAAGTTGTTCTGTTATCACAAAACGCAGACAGATTTCAGATAGATTAGGGTAGTACATCATGGTAAAGTGGAAGTATAGGTTAGGTTTGGATAGGATTTAGATAAGGTCTTAGTAAACGTACTTTCCCGTGTACTATAATAAGGGTTAATGCAACTGAAAAATCAAATAAAAAATGGAAATATTAAATTTAGTATTTAATAATACTAAATTAAAAATAATTGTGTTCTCTCAATAGTTTGTTAACCGTTTGTGTATTTAAAAAATCTAAGCTTCTATGATTTTTTCATTATTTATAATATGGATATAACATTAAAAGTAGAAATATAAGTATAAGTAAAAGTAATATAATTAGAGTAGCGTTAATATAATCTGAATATAATATATAGCCACGTAAATAATATAAAAAGTAGGTCTTCTCGTTACTACACTTTGTTATTTTAAAATTTTTAAAGTGTAAAAGCATTTAAATTTATTCCTAAAATTTTAGTTTATTACTGAAATTACTAAAAAATGTATAAAAGTTTCAAGTAAAACCATTATTTCACTGTTAACAAAATTTTTCAGCTTAGAGCGAATTTCCTTGCTAATTACATGAATTGCTTAATACTAATGCAATGATTGGTAAACACTGACAACTGTTTCAGCTGATAATCCACACCCCACCGCCTTAGAGATAATTGAATACAAGGAACCGTTGCATCAGTACTATCAGACAAATTCAAACACATGTTTATCAACCGTTTTGACACAATAATAGCGCTGAAACGATTGCATACATATAGCTTTTTGAAGAACTGTAATAAATTAATTTATAACTTGACTTGTTGCTCGTCCTAGCATGCTTTAAAAAAAACATTGTGACTTCTTTTTGTTTTGAGAATATTTTAAGCTGTAGGTAACTGTGAGAAGTAGGAAAATTATATCGAATTTAGTATGGTAATTTTTAGTAGCGCCTCAGATTTGCTATTCAAGTGCGTAAGATTCAGTTAAATTCTTTTTGCCATATCTCAGAACGAGAGTAACTTTCTGTAAGTAGAATAGTTAAAAATCGTTCAACAATTACTAAAATAAAACATAACTAAAAGTAAAGTAGATGGTGCAATATTTAATTCATCATAGTAATTATCTCCATTAAAGACGTAAAACAAGAAAAATAAACAATTGATAAAATATTAACAACATCACAACGTATAGAAACACGAAAACAATGTTCTCGTGAAAGTTACACGGTACGGAAGGTCACACTTGTTGGCGAAAAAATCCATTTTCCTCATACCATTTTTAAAAACAAAACATGCACATGTGCATTAAATTCTGTGCTCTGCAACTCTTCGGAAAGTTTAAAAATATAATATTTGCCTTACTAAAGTTCTGCGACAAGAGCTACACATATTGAGACACTCAAGTAATTGAATCGACCAATTATTTTACTTCATTTCGATCTCAATTAATTCAATAAAAACAGAAAATGGTATTTCATTCCTAGAACAATTCAAATCTTTATATTCATTACTATTATCTCCGCTATGAAGATTTTCGTAGACCCATCGATCCGTCAGTGGAAAAGAAAAATTGGTTTCTCGATTTTTCTCCGATCGCTAACGAATATATTTGACGCGGATGTGAAAGGGAAAAAGCGTAAACTCTTCATGTTGGCATTCAAAGCCGCAAGGTTAACCGTGTAAGTGGAACAGAAGAGGAAAGTAAATCTCTGCGTTACCGGCCGAGATTCCGAATGTGTCAGAGTGAGAATCGCGCGCAGGGAAAGCCCGTCCTTGAGCTGATATTTCCCGGCACCGATAGATCGCGCTCGTAATCGGAATGAATTGAAGCGCACGGGCGGACGGCCGGACGGATGGACGGGCGCACGAGCACACTAGCCGCCGTGGCCTCGAAAAGTCGGTGACTCGACGCGGCTGAGTCCGACAAACGGTTTGCGACGTTGCCGCTAGTCTCCGTTTTAAAGCGTATATATTTCTCTCCCGACCCATCGCGCACGTCGCACGCGATAAATTCTTTCCCGGTCGCTTTCGGAACCGTCAATGTCTCCTTAATAGACAATGCAGTTCCCTAAGATGGAATTAGTAGATGCTCGATAGCTGTACGCGTGCAGAGACACGAAACGAGAACGTCGGTCTAACTATCGACAAATAATTTGGCAATCGAAACGTACGAAATTCACCGCAAACCGATCGAGTCCATGTCTCTTGCACATCGTGTTTCGATCGCTGATCGCACGCTGAAAAATCACTGGTCGTACGAACGTGTTCGCTCGAATCGCCCCCGTA